GTCTCTGCTTCTCTTTTTTCCCCATATTAAAATATATATATTTTAATATATATATTTATATTTTAATATATATAATATATATATATTTTAATATGTTATCATACTCGTAGATGGACACGATACCTTTGTCTTATTTGTTTATTTTTATGTGGTGCCAGGGATCAAACCCAGTGCCTCCCACACACTAGGCAAGTCCTCTACCACTGAGCCACAACCCTGGTCCGTTCCCCACCTTTTTATTAGTGCATTGCAGTTGTACAGAATGTGGGATTCCATCTTACATATTCACACATGCATACGATATAACAATATAGTTTGGCCAATATCATTCCCAGTACTCCCCTTCCTCCCTCCCCCGTCCCTTTCCTCTATTCTTTGCTCTTCCCTTGATTTACATGAGACCTACCCCCCCCCCTTTTTTCCTTTTCCCTCTCTAACGCTCACATGTAGGTCTCTATTCTTTGTGCCACCTACTCCAGAGTCAAGTCAGGAGCATGTTTTGGTTAAGGGTTGGTCTTCATCCCAGGCCAGAGGTTAGGCTGCCAGGGCTCAGGCATGTGACCTTCTGGCCTCCATAGCAGGAGGTTAGATGGGTCTCTGGCCACGATTCATACAACAGCAGATCCCCCAGCACTGGAAGAGGAAGTTCAGGTGCTCAACTGGCAAGACCAAGAGGAACATTGATTCCCAGGCTTACCAAGACACCTTGCAGCCCCCACACCGTGGCAGCAGACACAGTTCTGCTTCCGACTGACTCAGCCTCAGCCTCCTCTCCCACCAGCAAATCTACGCCTGACTTGTCCATTTTCACAAGTGACGTCTATTCTCCAGAAATAACTAGTCCAATTAAGCCTGACTCGACCCAAAGTTCAGAAAATTACTTGTGGGTAAAACCCTCAATTTCTGCAGCTGAGTTGGAGGTGTGCCGTAGAGTGCTCTAATCCTAGTCTTTTTCTAACATGGTCTTGCAGACGTGGCCTTCCTTGTGTTTAGAAACAGATCTGCCACGGAGTGTAATTTACAATTATAACTTTGGGGAAAAGCTTGGGGAGAAGCAGCTTGCCATAAAATAGCAAAGCAAATTGAATAATCAGCTCCCTTAAATACCATAGAACACTAGAAATAGTGCTTTATTGCGACTCAGAACTAACCTCACAAGTTGAATTTAGAAACTAGTAAAAACTATGTTCTGGGGAATGCTATTCTRTGTCCTTGATTAAAAATGCTTCCTGGGGATAGGGGATAGGATGAGCCTGGTGAGGGGACCAAAAAGAAAAGGAAAATGTCGACTCTCCCTAAGCACCCTGTTTGTTCAGACAGCCTACCTGGGAGGTGGCATGCACGTAGGTCTGTCATCCACCCTTCCCTGTTCCKCTGGTGCCCAGCGTGCTGACCTCTATGGGCTATTACCGTGGCTTCCTTGTCCTCTTAGCTTTGGTCAGTGGGAAGTACAGGCAGGAATATTTATGAGGAGACAGCTCCCTGGACTTGTCACCGTGGCCCTGCGGTGGCTGTGCTCTGCCCTGGCCATGGCTGCTGTTGAACGGCCTGGATTCATAGCTCTCTCACGTCTACTTAGGGTTTTCAGACCTGAGGGTGACAACCCAAGCTTCTTTAAAGTGTGCTGTTTCCAGCTGGGACCCTAATTGAAACAAAATCAAATGTGCCCTCCCCAGATCTACCCTTTCAAAGAAGGCAGCAAATATAAATAAGCAAATTCCCAGAAAAACAGGCTTATATTATGAAGGTTTTATCATCCAAAAGTATTTTTTACTAAAATGTTCACCCAAATCCACCAGGATGGGAAAGTGGGACAATGAATGAGAAAAGAGAATCCTCAGGGGAAACTGGCAGTACGGTGACACACAACTAAACCAGTCATGGTCACCACGGGTGAACTAATCACACAGAGGCAAAGAAAGGCCTTTTTCTTTGGGGTCTGTGTGAGCTCCTCTGACCCAGCTCTCACAAAGGAGGCAAGGCCGGCAAGAAAGAGAAAGAGCAGGCCTGAACCCGGTTTTATTGGGGAGAAGCCATTTAAATGAGGCAAGGGGTCAGGTTTCAGGGGGTTGAGTCTAGCTTCCTAATGTCTTGCAGGTCAGAAGGTTGACTGACATCTTGGAAGGCCATGCCCATCTCATGTGCTGTGTGATGATCAAAGGCAGAACAAGCGAAAGGGAAACCTATGTGCATGGTCCAGAAAGAGCTGCATCGTCAGTCCAGTCCGCTTTGATGCTCACAGCTCACACACACAGCCCACAGCTGGCTCGCCCCATCTCCACATTCCCATCGCTCAAAGTTAGGGGGCGCTCATCTCCTATGTGGCAGCTCCCGACATGGCAGTAAATGTGAGGAGAACACCATAGCCAAGTCTCAAATTCAGCCTCACACCCAAACCACGTTGACTGAGGCTGGACTGTTCAGAATGAGTGATTTGGGGGTAATGGTGACTACAGGATTACAACTGGCTAGCCTCAAAACTTCTGGTGGCAGAGAGGCTCTTTGCAGAGATATAGGAATTTAGGGCTATTAATTTCCCTCTTTGTAGTACTTTTGCTGCATCCCATAATCTTGGTATGTTGTGTTTCTGTTTTCATTTGTTCCAAGACTTTTTTATTTCTTATTTTGAGTCATTTTTTTTTGGCAGCATGTTCAATTTCCATATACTTGAAAAATTTCCAAGATTTCTATTATTACTAGTTTCATATCCATTTGTGGTCAGAAAAGACATTGATATAATTTCAATACTATTAAATTTGTTCAGATTTGTTTTGTGGTCTAAACAAATGATCAACTCTGGAGAAATTTCCTGTGTACTTAAAAACCATGTTTATTCTGATGGTCGTGTTGCTCATCTCAAAATGAAAAACGGGCTGAGTATATAACTCAGTGGTGAGCACTTGCCTAGCACATGTGAAGCCCTCAGTTCAATCCCCATTCTCTCTCTCTCTCTCTCTCTCTCTCTCTCTCTCTCTCTCTCACACACACACACACACACACATTATACAATGATAAAGGAGTCAGTTCATCAAGAGGTTATACCAATTGTAAATATATATGCACCCAACATCTAAATATATAAAGAAAATATCAATAGATCTGGAGAGAAAGATAAATACTAAAATAGTAGAGGACTTTAATACCCCCTTTCAACAATGAATACAGCCAACAGGAAATGAATAAGGAAACACTGGACTTTAACTACACTTTTTTTATTTTTACTTGTTCTGGGAATTGGACCCAGAGGTGCTTTACCACCCGTTRCATCCTTGGCTAATTTTTTTCTTTGGGAGGGGCATGGGTACTGGGGATTGAACTCAGACACTAAGCCACATCCCCAGCCCTATTTTATATTTTATTTAGAGACAGGGTCTCACTGAGTTGCTTAGTGCCTCACTTTCCCTGAGGCTGGCATTGAACCAGCAATCCTCCTGCCTCAGCCTCCCAAGTTGTTGGAATTATAGGCATGCACCACTGCGCCCAGCATTAGCTAAATTTTTAATTGAAAAACACTTTGAACAGTTCTTGCTAAATCACCCAGGTTGTCCTCGATCTTGTGTTCCTCCTTCCTCAAGTCTCTCAAGATGCTAGGATTATAGGTATATGCTACCATGCCCAGTTTCCTCCCCCTCTCCTAAAACTTTTGGCTTTAAGTCCATTTTGGTTAAATAAAAAGCTTAAAGCTCTCTTTTGGTTTCCATTGGCACTGAATATCTTTTCCTATCCCTTCACTTTCAGTCTCTTTGTATCCTTATAAAAGAAGGAGAGTCAGTTTCCTAAAACAGAGCATCTAGTTGAGTCTTTTAAAATTTTGAGACAGGATCTAAATAAATTGCTTTAGTTGACCTTGAACTTGCAATCCTTTGGTCTCAGTCTCTGGAGTCAGTCGGATTACAGGTGTGTGCCCCCACACCTGGCTTTTTTTTTTTTTTAAACTTAATCACTATCTTTTAATTGGGGAATATAATCCATTCACATTCAAAAGTGATTACCTCTCACTAAGAGATAAGGACTTGCTGCCATTTTGTAATTTATTTTGTGATTTTATGGGCTATACTTTGTTTATTCTCTGCTATCTTCCCTTTTGGTCTTATGGATTTCTGAAGCACTGTGCTTCAAATCCTTTCTATTTAGTGTATCTACTATAGTCTTTTGCTTTACAGAGAAGTTCATATGGTCATGTCCCAGTGGCTTACAATTTCAATGAGGATGTGAGGTTCATAATTGAAAAAAAATAATTTTAAAAAACTGCTTCAGTAAAAACAAGAACAGTCGGGAATTCATTTAAACAAAAGAACAAATTATGCCTGAGTAGGAGCCAAGTTTTTAAGGTAACTGAGTGTACGGTTTCTCATTTTAGAAAATTTATGCTAAAATAAGAATCACAATCTGGAATCTTTATAGCACCTGAAGTTTGCAGGGTCTCTGTATCTGCGTGCGAACTAAATGGCAGGGATAGCATTGCCCATCCCTGTTTATTTGTAGACTACCCTTTGGGGTAGGTCAAGTGTTCCTCYAAGTCATATTTTAGAAAGTTCTTCAGGCATATCTCCCTCTTTTTCTCTTTCCAAGTATGCATTTGTTTTTTTAAGTACTTACAGCATGCATATATTAACGTGAATTTTTATATTAATATTGGCTGCCCTAAGTTTTCAAGAGGAAATTTCACTATTGATCAAATATTCTGGGGTGAATCACACTGGTGAAAAGCACGCACCAGACCTTTGGGATGGGACAGTTGTTCTTTGGACTACTTAGTGTGGTAGGAGTTAGGAAATTTGCAGAAAATGTGTTTTGGAACAAGAAGTGGTCTATGCCATGTAGTCTAAGCCTATATTTTCCTTTTTCTCACTTTTGTTAGGTATCATTTTGCTGCAATTCTTTCTGGAACTCCAGACATTTTAGAGACTTTCATGTACCAGGCATGGTATTTCAGAATAGAAAGACTTTCAGGTTATCTTATAAAACCCACAGTGCCAAAAACAAAAGTTCTAGTATCGTGTTTTGCACATACTTTTTATTTGTTGAATAAATGAATATTTGTCAATATGTACATAACCACATAGAGCGAGCACTAGATTTAGAGCAAAATATTTGGGTTCTAATATGCAAAGCCACTTACCAGCTATGAGGGCTTAGGCAAAGAAGTTAATCTGAGCTCAGCTTCCTCAACTGTAAAACTAGGCTATACAGACCTGTGCAGCCCATCACACAGGTTTATTGCAAGGTTCAAATGCAGAAACATGTGAAAGTGCTATGAATACAACTTAGAGCAATACAAATATAACCATAACAAGTAACAGCAATTGAATTTCAAGTTGAGGAATACTTAATCACACCCTTGGATTGTACCGATGTACTGATGGAGTCAACAAGAAAGTGACAAAATAGCTGATCACCAATGAGAACAAGTACGCTGTTCTTCTGAGTGGAAGAATTCTGCAATATCCTGTAGCCTGTCCCAGCAATTAATCACTTCCTAAACTTCATGAAGATGTCAGAGACCCACCATCAATAACTCTCTCACAGAAGCACAAGGGCCAAATGTCCCACGTTTATTTACATATGAAATGTGTGTAATACAGTTATGATGGATGTAGTCATAACACCTGACAGCAGCAAGACCTTTTGAGGAACCGAACGTTGGCTACAGTCTATCATGCAAGTATCTATATATACACAAAAGAATTTCTTTTCTTAGAAAAAAAAAATACAAAACATGTTCAGGGATAAATATAAAATGCAAAGGAAAACACAAAACAAAAACCAAAAAAAATGATAACTCCCAGAGAACTATAAACGGAAGGGACAGAAGAGTACCTCTGCAGCGCTTCAATAAAGCAGAACTACGGATGTGAGCTGTACTTATTGAAATGACTGAACAAACCCAGGTGGCTCAGTGCTTCATCTAATGGCCAATTGCAATATGCAGGCTGCTGCGTTGCCAAGTCGGTGGTTGAAGTTGTGCATCCCAACTCTAAGTACCAGAACRTTTGGCAGTAGCACCCAGAACAGGAAACACCAACTGTTTAGACAGCTAAAGGGTTAAGTCAACTGTGACTTTTTTTTTCCCTGTCAAGAGTCAGAGAAATACTTGATATTCTTAGTTGTGTCTGCGTGATAGTTAATAAGTTATGTGACAAAAACCTGACTAGACATCTATTGATCTAACTACGGATTTGTAACTTTTACAGTAGTCCAGCCCTTTCGTAGCTTGATCTCCTTGTGCTCTTATAAGTCAGCCTTGGAAATTTCCCTAGAGAACAATGAACCCCATATTTTCCCCCTTTAGAATTAATTCCTTTCTTCCCCATTCCTCAAAATGGAATTACGGAAACCCACAACCCTTACAGGACTCTTGGCCTGTTCTGCCACTGCTGGGAAAGAAGGGACCACAAGGCTGCGTTAATCAAGCTGGTGGCTCTGACCCAGCCTGGCCACTCTGAGCTGGAGTGCGGGTGTCCCAGCCGCGCCCTGGCCCACTTTGGGCAGGCACGCTGAGGAGAGTGCTAAGACACTTAGAAGTTTCTAGTGTTTTTGAGACCCACGATCACCTACAATTTATGTAGTGAATTCTAAAAATTAAAAACACTAAAAAAAGGCATTATGTAAGCCTGTAATTTGTTAACCCATTCAAATGTGTAACATACAAAATGGTCTTTTTGAATTCAGGAACTGCCCCTGTTACTAAGAACTCTGTTTTAAAGAAACAGTACAAAAAAGAAAAATTTTAACCCAAAAAAACTCAAAAAACATTTTCCACTAAATACTGATACAAACATGTAACAAAGAGTATAAAAAGTTATTCATTTAAATATATACAAACTCTTTTAAACTCAAATACTGTTGTAATACTTATCGAGGATATATCCAAGGAGGTGAGGAAGGTACATTGAAAGAGAATATATTGCAACAGCCTAGACAGTACTGTTAACTCTATTATACTGCAAACTTTTTGTAACAAAAATGTCCTTTTTCTGCTTTTGAATTCCAATGYGGACAGGGGTTTTCCGGGGGAGTGCCTGCGCTATTTCTCGGCGGAGCTCATTCTTTTGGATTTGATGAAGGCCATGCCGTGTGTCCGCATGTGCGTGTTTAAGGCAGCTTCCGTCTCAAAGGTCTTGGCGCACACTTTGCACTTGCGGTCGGACGCCACGCCGTCCGCGGCCTCGTCCTCGGGGTTGGGCTTGTTCTCCTGCTGGCTGTCTTCCCCCGCCCCGTTCTGCTTGGACACGGGCTGCGGCTCCTTGAGCTTGTGCACGATGAAGAGGTGCCGGGACAGCGACACGTGCGACGTGTAGCACAGGCCGCACTCGCGGCACTGGTAGGAGGAGCCGTCCGACTTGTGCTGGGGGATGTGCTCGTGGAACTGCAGCAGGTTCTCGGTGGTGAAGCCGCACACGGCGCACTTGTGCACCTTGAAGACGTTGATCTTGAGCTTTTTCAGGGGTTGAGTGATGGCTCCCCTGGGAGGCCTGAACTCTAAAACCGGCTCTTCCAACTTCCGCTTGGGGCTGGGAACCTTTGAGGAAAAACACAAATCAGAGCACACAACTGAAAAGCGCCCTGCTCTGCGGCGGGTCAACGCCTTTGGAGCTGCCAGCATACTGTGTGCTGTGGGCTTGGGGACCCTACAGTGCTCCTTCACCCCTAATAGGTCTGGAGTTCCCAAATTCCCAGGCATTGCTCCACTTGGGGTGGAGGGGGGACACAGGGAACAAAGAAGTCGCTGCTACTGTGGCATTTCTGATCCAGTGGTGCAGGACAACCCCAAACAGAACAAGGAATCTAGGAGGAGTCAGACCCAGGAAGACAAAACAGGGGGTGGAGTGGACATCCAGGGAGTGTTAGGTGAGCGGGGCTTGTTAAGTGAGCCAGGGAAGGCCRTGGTGACAAGGGACAGGCCAACAGGGACCTGACACAGTGCAGGGCAGAGGCCCAGATGCACGAAGCTGAGGGTAAAGGTGTTGGGGAAACAGGCCTGAGTGCTCAGGGACAGCAGGGCAGCTGCCCACTGTGGATGAAGTCAGGGAGGGGGGGGGACTGCAGAGCACCTTGTGGGAGACAAAATGCTGGGGCTCTTGCTTTCACTATGTGAAACTGAGGAGCCACTGCAGGGTCCACCTGGCCAGCACCTGCTCCCACCACGGGCAACACCTCTTCGTGTCCTCACTCAACTTCCTGCTAGATCTACCTTTTCCCTCCACTTCAGCTTCTAAACCCTGCCTACATCAAATCCCCTCATTGCCACAAACCCAAAACCAAGTGGTACTTCATCCTGAGGCCCAGTGGCTTTGCCCTGTTCCCAGGGCACTTCTCTCACACTACCTTGACCCAAAGCTCCTTCTGCACATGCGTTCTTTAACTTCCTGGGGGAAGGCCAGCGTCTTGTTGCAACCCTACTCTGACTGGTATTCCGATGAGGTTGATCTCAACAATTAACTGACTGAAAGCACTTTGGGTTAAACTGCTTTTAGCAGTACCCAGACTCAGCTGGGTGCCAGGGCCAGWCATGGCTGCTGAGCAGTCATCCCTCGATTTTAGGACCACTTGGCACAGCACAATGCCTTGCACGCAGGCTTGTGTATGGGCATACACTGCAGGCTGACTGAAGTCCACTACCTACTAATGTAAGAACAAGGCACAAATTTGTGATCTTATCTTTTATCCATTCTAAAGAGAATTAAGAAATTGCTTTATTTGTTATGAGGAATGATACACTGCTTAAAAAAAAAGAATCTAGCTTTAACATATTTCTCTAAAAGACAACTGTTGTAAGTCAACATAAAATTTGGCAAGTTATCTATGCAAGTAGATCCCTCAAGCTGTTTTCCAGAAGGATACAGAGGAACAAAGGTTATCTTTCAGGAGAAGCTGAGAGGTTAGATTAGTCATTATTTTACACCTTTACACATAGTGTAGAATTTTTGAATTGTGAAACTGTACACACAAATGTAGATTTAGAGACAGAATAGGGAGAGCCAGCAGCCATGTCTGACCTTGGTGTCTTCCTTTATTTCCGTCTCCTCCTCGTTGGTGGCTTCCGTCATTTCTTTCAGGTCAGGGTCCTTGATCCCGTGCATCAGCTGGATATGCTTCTCCAGCATCAGCCGCTTGGTGAAGGTCCGCCGCGAGTCCGGGCAGTGCCTGCRGAGCACAGGGAGAGGGGACGCCGCTGAGGAGCGGCACCAGGCACCCACAGGAGGGCTGCACCACCAACCGCACACACAGACCGGCAGAGGGGCTGCACTGCACCAGGGGCTCAAAGCAAGACGAGCAGTGCCGCTCTGCATSGTGGGGGCCCTGGACGCTGGGAAAGCTTTGTTTTTTCTTTCCTTTTTTTTTTGTTTGTTTGTTTGTAAACCACTGTTTGTTTTGTGTCCTTACCGGACCAGCCCAATTTGTTTCAGACAGAGTATTTATTTTGTAGGTTTGGTGAAAGTAGGACTTAGTTTGTTAATTCTAAATGACCTTGATTTTTTTATTTTTATTTTTATGGAGTTTAGATGGACACGATACCTTTTTTAAATTTATTTATCTTTATGTGGTGCTGAGGATCAAACCCAGAGCCTCACAGTTGCTAGGCGAGCGCTCTACCGCTGAGCCACAACCCCAACCCTAAATGATCTTAATTTTAAAATGTAGAATTTAAAATTTCCAAGTTTCCTTTACAATGACTCAGAGAATCCCCTCAGAATTTACATCACAATAGATGTGCCAGCCTAAAGACAGTCCCTCTTGGACCCTGTCCTGCTGATATTAATTCTCCCAGGCTATTCTTCTGTGACAAGATGGAACATCTGGCCCAGACTCCTCATCAAAACAGAGGCAGCGTATTTATAATCACAGCACCAAATACGGTTGTGCGTTCCGTAGATCAGGACGAAGAAAAGTGAACAGATATCCAAGGTAGATAATTTACTTAAGTTTTCATTTAATTTTGGGGAAAAAAATACTGGATTATGAAGATCCTTTCTTTGAAAGATATGAATTACTGTCATCTTAATGAAACAGGCCAAAAACAGGTTTAAGAAAGGTTAAGGGCCCTGGTGACTATGGATAACATATGTCAAACATCAAGAACACCACAGCAGGGAAGGGGGATGAAAGGCACCCGGGGCTCTTATTGAGCACCCAATCTGCCTCCTTTGAAAAGGTTTCTGAGGATTTCGCAAGGACAGGCCTCAAACCCTGATGATTCCAGCAGCATCAGGAGCTGGCCAGCACCATGAGCAAGCACTATGCGTTATGAAGGGATTTGCTGGCAGTAAATCAGCTGGAGGATCCCAGCCTTTCACCACCTTGGGGTGACATCACCAGGATAGAAACAAAGTTATTGTAAAGGAGACCAGGGCATCCCTCCAGATTCTGACCAAGTGTGTCCTCTCCCCCACCCCCCATGCTGGAGATTGAACCCAGGCCCTCACACACACTAGGCAAGAGCTCTGTGCTACATCCCCAGACTTTTTTATTTTGAGACAGAGTCTCACGAAGTTGCTGAGGCTAGCCTCAAACTTGTGATCCTCCTGCCTCAGCCTCAGAGTATCTGGGATCACAGTCCTGTGCCACATACCCAGCTAGATTCTCATTCTTTTGGYTCAGTCTTGAAACACAGTATCTGTAGAACATTCTCACCTCACCAAGACCACTCCCTGCTTCAATTTCATTCCTGTGTTTTGCTACTCAGGAAACTTTCCCTAACTCACCAAGTCCCAGCAAACTCCTGCTCATCTGAGAGCCAGCCTCACGTCTGCCTTCATCATGAGGCCAGCCACACTCCTCGCTCACGTTCTGCTGCATTACACACTGGCTCTCTGTCTTCAGGGTCCCCGAGTGCCCTCTCTTGTGAGAAGTGCCGTGTTCTCTCAGCTCACTTCACACATGTTCTGGTGCAGTGTGTGAGGAAGACTCTCCTCTAACAATGTGACGCAGCCTGGTCTTCACATACAAAGCAGTTTCTGACCAGCCACTGACGTGGGATTTGTGTTGGCCACTCCGTGCCTCACATTGGTTTGATCCCAGCCAAGAGTGTGTGCTGGGAAAAGGCTACTTGCCCTAGTGGCAGATGGTAGCCAAAGTGCCCAAGACCTGGTCCAGTACTGAATCCATGACTGGCCCTCTTTGGACCTCTTCTGAACCCAAGTAAACCACCCCACCAAATCAACTTGGCAAGACCAACCACTTCATGGGGACCACAGTTGGGTGGCTCATTCATCGCAGGCCAAAAAAAAAAACCCAACCCCTTTCCCCAAATCCTCAGTAATAAAAATATATGCCAAACAAGCCAGACTCTGAAAATCAAGGGTTGAATGTTTCCTCTCATATGTGGAAGCAAAGCAAAATATGGGGAGGAGGTGGAGAGGTGGCTGGATGTCATAGGATATAGGGAAGATCAGTAGAGCAGAGGAAGGAGATGGAGAGGGAGGGGGGAGGGAACGGGAAAGGGGATGAAATGCAGAATGAATCCAACAAAACCACACTCTGTGCACATATAAATACACAGTGAATTCCACCTTTATGTATAAATCAAAAATAAATAAACAAGTAAGAGGAAGATCAGTAGAGGAGAGGACGGAGAACAGGGAGAGGAAGGGAGGGAAATGGTGGGGGAGCGGGGTCTAAAATGGAGTAAATCAAATTCCATGCATGTATGATTTTGTCAAAATGACCCAACTATTATGTATAACTATAATGCCCTAATACATACATACATACATACATGCCACTGAATAACGTAAGAATATACACGGGGTGTGCAAAAAAGTGTTCCAGTATTTTTAAGCATGACAACCCAATTGAAAAATCAAGGCCAAAACAGAATATAGCTAAGACAGGAATTTAGAAACTGGCGCAGAAGAGGAGGAATCAAAAGTTCCTGGTGAAATATGAAATGCTTCGGGACACCCCAACAGTCTCTCCCCTGTGCTTTAGTAGCAGCGACATCGACTTACGAGCAGGTGTACACCTTCCTGATGCCTTTGTGCTTGATCCGATTGTGGCGGCACAGGCTGTGCGAGGAGCTGAAAGACTTGTCACACTGGCGGCACGGGTGCTTCTTCATTTGCTGCATCAGGAGAGAAGAGAAGGTCACTGGAGACAGGGACGACAGGAACAAGCTAGAGGCAAGGGCTCTTCCAGGGGTGCGAGTTCAACAACCAGTACGTGGGAGTACAATAGCAAAATTTCAACACAACAGTGCCTGCGAGGAGACCCTCGGTGGCCGGAGGGAGGAGCAGCCAGGGTAGGTCTCTTCTCAGAGAGCTGATGATGTCAAAGGCAGTGCATCCCCCTTTCCTGGTCTTTATGAAAACATGCAGAAATGAAGCCCAAAACAGAGCACAGCTTCAGATCACTAGTGACAAGAAGATGAGAAGTTTAAGCACCAGCACCCAGATCAAGCCTGTAGGTTCCTACGACCCAACAAAACAAATGGCTCTCTTTCTTTCTGGTGCTCTAGGGCCTCAGCACACTAAGCAAGTGTGCTAAAGCTGACTTTCTTCTTCTCCGTTAAATCTTTTATTTTAACACAACACCTTTATTTTATTTATTTATATTTATATGGTGCTGAGGATCAAACCCAGTGCCTCACACATGCTAGGCAAGCGCTCCACCACTGAGCTACAACCCCAGCCCTAAATATTAGTTTATTCAAGGTGCTCTAACTTTATTCATAACTTCTATATTCAAATTTTATGAGTTCAATATGGCTACTCAGTGACACTGGGAACAACAAAAATGGAAAAATGGTGTGAAGAAAGTGCAAAGTAGATAATTCTGTTTCTGAGATTTTTCTTTCCACTACTGGGGATTRAAACCAGGGTCTCCTGCATGATATGCAAGCATTCTATCACTGAGCTATACCTCCACTGTTTTTGTTTTGAGACAAGTTCTGGCCTTCAACTTGCAGTCCTCCTGCCTCAGCCTCCTGCAGCAGCAGTGGTAACAACAACTGTTTCTTTGATTTTAAGGCCATATGCGTCCTATTTCCAATGCAGTGAAAGCAGATACTGAGGGAACCAAGGCTTTGAGTAGACTTTGTATAGTTAACTACAGTCAGAAAAGGACCATGTTTTCCTGCTCAATTCTGAGTTATTTTTGTTTTTAAATCTTTAAAGAAACAGCTCATTTATAACCTGGCAAGGTCCCCAAAATGTTCACATAAAACTTTAGTCAAATAACAAATGCAGCAAACATGTGGGAGCCCTTCCTAAGCTTCCTCTCCAACCTCTCCCTTAGCTTGGCAGCTTTCAGGGCAGAAAGCCTTTCTCCTCTGGCCAGAGCCCTCTGCCGAGTCCCGAGCACGGGCACATTCTGGGCCCTGGGGTGCAGACTCTGACGGCCACTGCTTCCAGATGGCTCTTGGGAGTGTGTCCTGGCTCGCTGTGGACTCTCCCACAATTGGACATTCCCATTCTGATAACAGGTTTCTTCTTGTTTCTTCTTTTTCAGGTCTTTTTCTTTTGCAGGTGACTTTGAAGAGGTTTGAGGAAAGTCACAATGTCACACCACCTGGAGAAATAGCTGCTTCACCTTTTCCTGAGAGTTCCACCTCACCCCCAAGAGGCATCTGCCTCACACCATCATGCAAAGAGCCTCCTCAACAGCCATCACCCTTCAGAAACACCCACAAACCCAAGGTTAAAGGCTGTTCAGATTAACCTCAAGTCATGCTGATCCACCTCCTCCAGCTCTATCCTAACACTTTTTTTTTATGAAAAAAGAAAAGCCAAACCAATTCTACACTTTAATTCTACAATTTTACAATTTACCACAGCAGCAGTTCCTTTAGACGTTAACTCCTAAACTCCAAACCCTTCCACAGGGACTCTGTTCTGCAGATACACAGCCTCTACCCCCCACTTTGTTGCCAGGGACATGTTCCAAGTTTCCCAACAGGTGTCTTAAAGCCTCAGGTAGCACCAAACCCCACAGATATCACATCTTTTTCTATACAGAGGTTCCTTGACTTAGGAAGGGGCTATATCCCCATAAACCGATAGGTGGAAAATGCATTTAATACCCCAGTAAACCCACTAAACCATCTCAAGTGGGAGACAATCTGTAAATAAATACCTATGATGGAGTTTAATTAATAAATGAGTCACAGTGAAAAATTCAACAACAAAATATTCAATTTTAACAATTTAACATATTGAAAGTTATGTGCATGTAGTCAGTCTCTCAAAAGATCTCATAGTATTTTCACCTTTTCACTTACATGAAGCATTCTGGCATACCTGAACTGCTGGCGTCACTGATTCTCACACTTTGGGGCCATTACTAGTAAAATAAAGGTTACTTGAACACATGCCCTACAACCACAATAGTCAATCTGATAACCAAGATGGCCACAAAGTGACAGTTCAATTCCTGGGTGAGATGGAGCTGCCATGACAATCAAAATATGTAACAGATGTATGTAATGGACCTCTAAAACTCCCGGGTGCCCCCCCCCCATATAGGTAAGGCCTGTCCTACACCTGGGCTCTTAGCAACCATGACCTGTTTTCCAGCCCCCTAGCCTTGTTCACCAGAGCCTGCGTGAACGACTCTTCTCTGTAGCACATTAAATACTCAGTAAATACTGTGAATGAAAGGATAAATGAAGAATAATTCTCCATCAGAAGAAAAGGAGTAGGCCGACAAAGTAATCACAAGCTGATAAAGTTAGGACTAAGCACCGGACACAGCACAAGCACTGCCTATTTTTCAGAGAGCAAGTGAGACATAAACATTTTTAAGTACTGATGAGAAAGAGACTGAAAGAGGACAGGCCAGGAGACAATGACAGGGAGGCGGGAGAGCTCCGGCAGAAGGAAGAGCAGCTCTTCCTGTGGCCTGAGCAGAGGCCCACCCCGAGACAGGTGCAAAGCCTGTTAGAGTAAGTAGTGCGTGGGGGAAAAAGGGACCAGGAAACTGAGGGAATTCCTGCCCAGCAGCTTCCAGTCCCAACCCGAAGTATATATATGGCACTTTTAAATACTGTGGCCTTCCTTTATTGTGAAAGTAAAAAATACTTATTTCAAAATGAGAGAATAAAGATGGCCTCCTATCTCAATCACCCAACCATTGTCAATTTCTAGTAATAGATCCTTCGTGTATTACATTGTATAAATGGACATAATTTATTTAACTAATGTCTAATGATGGTTTAGGTGTTTCAACTTCTTCCTGAGAGTCTCTAATCCCCGCTCACTGTTCTTCAACTCTGCCCAAATGATCTGTAAAATATATTTCCCTTTTTCTTCAAGGCAAGTGATGCTGAACTCCCACTGTGTACTCTCTGGTCTCTATTTCTTTAGTGACTTACCCAGTCATGTCCTTTATTTGGTTTTCTATGGAGCAAGGTCAGGAGAGAAGGGAGGTCAGAAAACAGATTGGAAGATCCATGGTCTAAGGTGAGGCCTGGAGATAGTCATGGAGAAGACGCTGGAGAGACTGAGTGGAGGAGTCATATGACCTACATGTTTGATGTGCCATTCTAGCTGTCAAGTGTGGGTTCTGGGAAACCAGTGAGGAGGCAGTGAAGCTCAATGGCTAGAGGGTAGCAAGCTGCAGAATTTGTGGATAGGGGAATGTGAGTGACAGAGGGGAGAGCAGAAGGGGCAAAGGATCGTTCCAAATTTTTTGACCCAGATCTTTGTTAGAAGAATGTTGCTGGTTACTAAGTAGCAAAGAGTAAGGCGTGGAAGTCACTGGAAACCTCCTCAGTGTGTTGGTCAACCRGGAAGATCAGAGTCTAGCTGGGAGGACACAGGGGAGTGCAAGGACAGAAAACTGCTTCAGGGAGACGTGGTAAAGGGAAGCGGAGGAAAAAAATGGCAGCAGGGAAGGTGGGGTTGGATAACTGTGCTTTACTACGGTAAGAGATACCTTGGCATGCTTCATGATTTTGAAAACTATTGAGAAAAGCTCAAGATACTCCTGAGTGGTCAACAAAGGGGCTGGAGATGGAGGGACACAGAGTCCCACGGAATGGAAGAGCACAGAGTGTGTAAATTCAGATGCAAGAGAGTCTTCACAGCCACTGCTCCTTAAGTGTTCCACAAAATTAACTTCCTGGCCTCTGCAACTGTCCACAATCTAAAGAAGACAAGGACATTAAAGACAGCCTTTGTTGCTAGCTACTCTTCTGACAGTGGATTAATATCTAGAATACATAAAGAATCAAAAAGCTTAACAAAAAAATTTAAARACCCAATTGAGAAACGTGCAAATGACACTTTTCAAAAGAAGAAATACAAATGGCCACCAACCATGAAAAAATGTCCAACATCATTACAACTAGGGAAATGCAAAGCAGAACTACACTGAGATTTCATCTCACTCCAGTCAGAGGGCAGTCATCAAGAATATAAACACTAATAAATGCTGGAGAGGATACAGAGAAAAAGGAACTTTTACACTGTTGGTGGAATTGTAAATTAGTGCAACCCCGATGGAAATCAATATGGAGGTTCCTTAAAAGACGAGGCATGGAACCATCAGGTGTCCGAGTTATTCCATTCTCCAGTATTTATCCTGAAGAATAAAGCCATCATACTAGTGATACATGCAAACCCATGTTTATAGTAGCACAAATCACAACAGCCAAACTATGGAACCAGCCTAGATATTAATGGATGAATTAATAAAGAAAATGTGAGATAGGTACTCACAATGAAATTTTATTCAACCATAAAGAAAAATGAAGTTACATCATTTCCAAGAAAATGGATAGAACCACTGACCATTATTTCAAGTGAAATAAGTCAAACCCAGAAGGTCAAGGGTCTTATATTTTCTCTCATATGTGGAAGGTAGAGAGGAAAAAGGAATTTAAAAGATGGGGGCCGGGTAGGGACCTCAAAAGAAATCAAAGAGAGATCAGAAGAGGAAAGGGACAGGGGATTGAGAGGAGGAAAAGGATGGGGGAAGTGCCAGGGAGTGATACTGGTCAAACTACACTGTCATATTGTGTGTAGGTACAGATATGTAACAGTAAATCCCACCATTATGTACAATTATAATGCACCAATAAAAACATGTGGAAAGAGGTGTGGGGGTGGGGGCAGCTTTTGATCT